TAGTTTATCAAATCGTTTATTTGTCTGTTGTTATGGTATTAAACAACGTAACCGTAGTAAGGGTATCAGACCACAACAGCATCATATGCCACTAGGCTGTCCGACCAAAATTCGTCTATCTAACACCAGCACAAAGCTGAAAATCACTGTGTTAAAGTTTAATCATAATCATACAGTTGAACCACCAAAGGTAAAATGTTATTCACGTAATCGTCGTTTAGATAATAATACAATTGAAATGATAAAAAAATATGATAATCATAAAGTTCCACGAAGTATTATACCTAACATCGTCATGAGTGAAAATTAATCAAAATTTACTACAATTAAAGACATCAAATATTTTAGATAAGAAAACTATCAACAATCTCCGATCCCAAGCTACTGCAATTGAAAAAATTCTAAATGAAATGAAAACCTTAGATTCAACAGCAACGATTGATATAACGATATCAGCAAACAATCAGCTTGCGATGATTATTTATATTGCAACAACACAAATGAAAGAAAACTTTAAAAAACATTATCACATTATATTTTTTGATGCTACTTATAGAATTAATATAGAAGGATTTTGTTTGTATGTATTCTTAATACAAGATGGTCGAGGTATAGGTATGTGGCAAGGTGAGTATACCACAATGCATACCTTTTCTCAATATAATATGAGATAAGAACAATAAAGCAAAGATATTCCCCTTATTGTATAGATTATTTTACTATCGATGCGAGATCAAAGATAAAAGTAAAGATTACCTTCGTTCTTTTCGATTGCCTGAGAAAAAGATATTATTTAAGTTAGAATAAGAAAAGTATAGCTGTGCAAAATGCCAGTTTTGACGCGATGAAAAATTCATTTTTCTGTCGATGCGAGATTAAAAGATAAAAGTAAAAGCTGCGTCAAAACACAATATTTTTCATAACGTCAAAACTGACATTTTGCGCAGTCAACTGTCTATACTTTTCTTATTCAAACTTAAATAATGTCTTTTCCTCAGACAGTAGAAAGAAAAAGTAGGTAACCTTTACTTTTATCTTTGATCTCGCATCAATAGTAAAATAATCTATACTCCGCTTTGTATTTAGCGGTCAACTTGACCGTTCTATCACAAATACTTCGTTCTTCGAAACAATCATTGATTCGACTATCCATCCAATTTAGTTGACGAGCAATGACATATCGTGACATATCAAATATTTGCTGGAAATTCTTTAAATCATGGTCACGTTTTAATAACAGTTCTATTTCATAGATGACAGTGATCCAAAGCAAAAGTTTGGCTATCAAATATTAACTGTTTTATATTATTAGGTATTAGTCTGAATTCATCGATGATTTGCCAAATTACGTCTACATGTTAAATTGTTACCCTTGAAAATGTTGATTTGGATATTACTTTTAATACAGTACAACTAGGCACTTTTTCCACGGTGAACAGAACTCTGAGGAAATTTCGCTCTATACGTAAAATTAAATGAATATGCAGATACCATAAATTTTTTAATTTGATTTTAACTTTTCTGTGATGTGGACATAATGCGATTTTTGCCGTACTCTTATAGCCCATAGCAACGCTCCTGTTGGCGCCAGTTAAGTGCCAATCGTTGCACTATTTGCTCTAGTGCAGCTTATAGATTAAAATATAGGGAGGGGGGAACGGGGGAAAACTTGCTATTTCTTAAGCTGAAAATATTAAATTAAATCCAGCGTACTTTGACACATAGAAAAAGCGCGAAAAAAGATGAAAGAAAAAGCTTTTTGCGCTTGAACAAGAACAAGTGCGCCGTAAAAACAGCGCCAGATATGAGAGATAATAATCCATTTTTTCTTTATAAAACAGCTAATTAAAAATCTGCGCGTACCTGAGAGAATTCAAACGCTTGATACAAGAAAGTCAGGCATAATTTACTTCGCTTTTTGAAACAATTCTGGATGCTCTGTTCAATCATGATTACACCATGTTGTATTCGGACTTTTCTTCAAGAACATGATGTAATCAGCTTTTTGAGTTCTTCTCGATTATACTAGCTCTCACTGCTACATACGCTAAACACCGAAATTAATTTTTGGACTTGAAGTACCAGTTGGAAAACACAAGAAAAAACCTAGATTGAATAGCTCATAAGAAACTATGAAACTCTCACTCTTCTAGACAGAGATGGACAGCTAGGATTTGTTGGACGCTGGTGTGCTTATCAGGTCCAGTCCAAGTCTCGTAAAACTTATTCACAAAAAAATCAACTTTTATAGTTGCCATTGGAAGTTTTCGAATTAATTTGAAGCACTTGGGAAAGAGTCTCATATTTAATTAATTCAAATTAATTTGGCGTTAAGTGGAGTCAAATTGGTAATAAGCTCTTTAAAATTAATATTATAAGCTTTCAGTCACCTGGTGTCATCGCTAGCGGCAGCGCCGTGAATATAGACTAGAATGGACTCAGGTACCCTAAATTTTGACCGGGGTAGACTCGGCCTCGCTGAATTTTGTAATGTAGCCCAGAAAACATTTTTCTGGTTGGACTCAAAATATTTTAGGGTATATATATAATATTCTCAACCAGCATGAAGCATAGTGTTACACATATTTAGTGATAAGAATGGCGGACGCCTTTCTTCTACATTTTTATTGAATAAATAGATTTTCTAAACTAAGAAAAAAAACACAAAAAGTCTTATGAAAAAGTGTATCTCAATCATTGAACCAGTTTGCTCCTTTTGAATAAACTTTTCCTAACAGAAAGTCTATTCTAACTGTAGGTCCAACGGCACGCTCCCACCCAGTGCCACTCCCATTGTATTGAACCATATGAGTATCACTTTCACCCTCACCAAGAAGTTGTCCTTCATTATCGACAATTGTTTTCACTTTATCTCGTGTCATACCAACCTGAATTAAATCATACTGTGCTTTTGTAATTGGAAATTGTTTTTCCTTGAAACCAGATTGATTTTTTGATACTAATGCATTATTTTGTATTGAGAAATGAACTGTAACATTCGGATTTGTATTCGTATACTCAACATCTTGAAAAAATGAGGCAGGGGAAACAGATAATTGAAGTGAAATTACACCTGGATTATTGTTGAGATACGATGTAAGTTGATTACGTGTCCATCCACGTTGAATACCCAAAAATTGTTCGTAGGTATTTGTTGCTACAAGCCTGATCAGTCGGGTGAGCTTTTTTTATTGTCTTATACAAACGATAAATCGACTAACACGTAGAAATGACCATACTTCTATAGACAGTCCTCCTTCTAGTTCCGTCAGGTTTGATTTTCTCGATATGAGAAGAAAGAAATAACTTCGCCGTATACAGGCATATATAAAATGAAAATATCGCACTGTATAATCATTTATTCAATAATTTTTTCTTTGACTTAAACAATAATAAATGTCTATTCTACAGTTCGTCACTATAGCGTCAGTCTTCTTATTTATCTATACCTTAGGAGCTCCACTTCCCAAGACAACAGCTGTTACGTACGAACAATTTTTGGGTATTCA